TAGGCCTTAATTTGCAGCTCTTCACCGGCAATGGTGACGTCTTCATATCAGTGAAATATTCTGGAGAGGGATGTTAAACAGCATAAAATCAATCAAATAATCTACCACAGTTCAGCACTGTTAAAATTTAAAAAAAACCAAGGTACTAGTATTTATTTTGAATAATGCAATGTAAACTGCATATTTTCGAACCCCCTTAGGAATTGACCCAGAAAGTGATATTACTGGTAGATGGTCGGGAGGTTATATTTACCTCCCTCCCTTGTCCTGCCTAAGTGACCAACTCTTGGATTAAACCATCTTTAGTAAACTTCTGTGTTCGTATGCAGAACCTGAATAAATTTCCCTTTACCACATTTTATAGATTCTAATTTTGTATTTAGTGCCGACATGTATGTGAAGTGTCTATAAATTTTCCCTTGACACATTTTAACAGATTATGGAGGCTGTTAAATCCAGTGACAATCAGTTCAAGACATTCATTTTTTCACTGACCACACCTGTATGTTCACTTCTTAGAGAGGTATGTAACTGAAGATTATGGATCTTTAATATGTTTACATCGATCTTCTATTTAGGATTCAAAAAGGTTCTTTTACATATACATGAATTTTTTATACAAAAGTAATTTCACCACTTATGCATTGCCTTTCATATGATGATCATATGTGAATCATATGTGCATACAATAAAATGAGACAAATCATATGTGGATCAGCTGTGGATCATTTGAATTCACTTCATTATGCAAATCATAAGAAGCAATATACATATGATACATATATGTGGATCATATGTGACGAAGTTGCCTGTGTATGATGTGACAGAAAAAGTTGATTCAACTTCTTTCATTATAAAACCTCTCTCTGTTTTACATGTAGCATGCCTTCTTTATGCTGCTAAATAAAAAGTTTTAGTGAATACCTTTTACCTGGTCTGTTTTAGACTTCTCCTTCATCATGTCCAGTCCATTATCCCTGCTTGTGATACAGGGCTAAGATTTATAAGATCCTTGTGTCTGTTTTCAAATCTCTGTATAAGTGTAAGTTGATAGAAGACATAGCGTCAGTGAAGGATGTTTGAAAATGGAGGAGTGGCCCTATATTAACAGCAGCTCTGAATACACAGTTCAACACAACACTTACTGTACAAATGAAAATGTTACATACAGATATAAGTATTGAAAAGAAATAGTTTGAACTATGCATTTACTGGTTAATTGAGCAGTTTCATTTTTTTTATCTGAGCCAAAAGATGTTATATTTAGGAATGTACACAACCAGAACATTGGTTAAGAAGTGCAACTTTGCATTAATACTTTAGGGATAACATTTGAGGCAAACTTTGTAACCTATTTTTATTTTTGTAGAGCAAGTTTGACATTATCATCAACTTTACCTACGACAAATCGGACAAAGAATGCATACCTTCTGGTATGTATCCAATAACAATAGAAACTCATTCATTGAGAAATGATTGTAGTTTTTGTCCATTGATACGACTTTTCCCTCTCTCTCTCACAGTATTTTGATTTTTTTATTTGTTAAATTCCTTTAGGTCATACCATAGTCCAGCATTATTCAGGAAAATGAAAAACCAACAAAAGGTAAATGCATATTTCAGCATAATGCATAAGAATATCAGTAGTAATGTAATGAAATTTGAACAAGTTAGCAATGTTGCAAATTTAATGCATATACATTTATACACATGTTTAAAGACACGTCTCAGATTAGTTAATTCTGGTTGTGATCTATATAGTCCATTTTTTATGGAGTTAACTACATTCAACCTTTGATTTAATAGAATTATGGAGACACCTACACGAGGACTAATGTAGCTAAAGTTTTATCAGACATCACAGATGGCTATTTTCAAAGGTTTATATGATGACTTCTTAGCTCACCTCGACAAAGTCAAGATATACTTATGTTATACCCCCACCCCCTCTTATCAGCATCTTAGCTCACCAAGTTGTTGAGATGTACTTATGATGTACATCCGCACAAACATCCGCATTAAAGTTTCTAGAGAATGACCATTCCTAGATAAGTATAAGCCCATCCTTGAACAAACAGCATCTAGGGATGTACACTTCCAGACTTGCTTCGGATGCTGGATCTGACCTACATTTTACAATTGAGTGACCAGGTTAAAATTTTTGGAGCAGGTTCATTCCCAAGTAACTATAAGCCCTAACTTTTCCCTAATTTGCATGGATGATGCATCTATGTACATTTCAAAATTTTCCTTTAGTCCCTGGATCTCACCTAGACTTTTCACTGACTAGATTAAAGTTTTTGAAGAAAGTTCATTCATTAGTAAGTACAGTAAAACTCATTTAGTATGAACACGGATATAAGGAATTCAAGGATAAAGCGAATTTTTTCTAGGTACCCAGAAATATTCTGAACAAAATTTTACGATTATAATGAACTCTAATATTACGAATTTACAGATATAGCGAGCTAATTTTGAGTCCCGTTGAGATATAATGAAATTTACATATTTACAACGAACTTTCAAAGATACAAAAATTTGATATATTGAACCGACTTTTTTTTTATTTTAGCAATTGTATACAAAATTCAATTCATAATAAAACCTTAGTTATCGAAGGTATGTTTTGTAGTATTTGCTTCCCTAACATATTTAGTAGTAATATTTGAAGGAAAACATGCATATTGCGAATTTGCAATATATGGTTATACAATTTTTTTATATGGATATAGAAAATTAAATTTACAGGTCCCCAGGACTTCGCTATAACCGAGTTTTACTGTATAAGGCTTTTGGTGTCTGAACTTGCATATTTGATACATCTAGAAAAATAACACTGTGAGGTTTGCTGAGTGACCTGTTCTAACTTTTCTCAGGTAAGCTTTAAATCCTATAGTGGCCATTATGCCTGTATGATACATCTAGGGATTTTTTTTTTCACCATCAGAAATAGTTCAGATACTAGACCTGACCTAAGTTATAGGTCCATTTCAATTAATTATAAATTCTATCTGTACTAAACTTGCAAGATATTACGTAAGAGTTAATGTACGAGTAGCGCTCCATTCTTTAAAAGTAATGGAGCCGAGGCCCCGAAGGGGCCGAGGCCTATAACTTTTAAGGAATGGAGAGCTACTCGTACATTAACTGGCGTAAAATCCGCCTTTCTAAATGCTTGTTTTTATTGCTTGTTAATACATAATAAAGAATATTTATATGATACATTGTAAATACTTTTTACATATTAGTAGTATTATTTATATATAATATAGAAAGAAAAATTAAAAAAAGTGTATTGAAGTAAATCTAAACCATCGTCTCTCAACAGCTTCGTTAGCTCAATGAAATTAGCATCGGACTTCTATGGTGAGGGTACCGGGTTCGATTCTCTTCATGGGAGCTCTAATTTTCTTAAATGTGAAAGTATCCTTGACAATTTTCTAAAATTCTTCTCCAAAATTTTCTGAGTTCATTCCTTGGTAGAGGCACGGAAAGGAGAATAAGACTATAAAAAAATTCCGTTTTCAATGTAATTTGCAACTCTCCATTCCTTAAAAGTAACGGAGCGCTCAAACAAAAGAATGACGTCACAGGTGGATTTTACCATTCAATGATATTCCTTGAAGTGAGCTTCATAATCTTTAATCTTCTATGTACTCTTACTTATAATTTAGCAAAAATCAATTCAAAAATATATAAAACGATACTGTTAATGCTTTGAAATGTAATTTATGTAACAGCATTTTTATTATTCTTCATAGGTTCAAGATATCAAGGTTTCACTGTACATTAAGTGAGTAAATCATTCATTTATTTTCACAGGAACTACAGTGTCCCAAAGAGCAATGAGAACAGTGTCTGAAAATGTGATGAAATCAAGTGTGTCCATGATGCTGTCTTTGTAGCCTTAGTTCTCAGTTTTTCATTCATAATGATTTTTTTCCATAGCATATTGAGTATTCTTTGCAGGATAAATTCCAGATGCAATCACGGTGACCTACTTATGATATTTTATTGTTATATTATAATATCTTCAGTCTTAACTGGCTAAAAATTATCAAACTTTGTCAGTTGAGGCATATTGGGTCTTGTGATAGAGCTAGAGGCTTCAAATAGAAGTGATAGATTGTACAATTGATCAGAAGAGAAATTCAAGACCCTTGGGCTTCTTGTTTAACAGAAACTACAGTGTCTGTAAATGTGACCAGATCAAGTGTGTCCATGACGCTGTCCTTGTAGCCGGTTAGTTCTCTGTTTTTTTTATTTATAGTGAACTTTTTTGCTTGTAAAATTAGCCTCCTTTGGAAAATAAATTCAGTATTTTACAAACCTTATAATTATATTGGACACATGTTAGAATATATAGTTAACAGAAATAAAACTGAAAGATAAAAATTTATATTTTTATTTTTAATTCCTCCACAGGTTGATATAATAAGTACAGCCGCACTCTGAGTCAAACTCCGTGGATTCTAGACGGAGGCAGGAAAATTCAGTTATCCTTGGAGGAAGAAATTTGTGGAACATTGAAGCAGAAATTTAGATTTACAGGTAAAATCCTGAGTATATATACCCATATCCTCACCGTGAAGTTAACTAGACGAACAGCTTGTAAGATTATCAGTCGAAAACAGAAGAATTTCCTTTCGAATTTTTATTAAATGTCAAAACAATATAAACTGTTTCTGACATGCAGAAAAATGTCATCTGGCAATACTTGGTTCTCTAAAAATAACCCGATGGTAGAGTTTCTCATTTGTAGCTTTTGCACAATAAAATCCCAGTCAGCTCCTTTAACATAAGTTGAATGTAAAGATTAATAAATTCCTGAGACATTCAAGTTTATCTAAAAAAACTTGGATATAACATTGATGGTACAGTGTATCATATTATAATACAAGCATTGTTAAATTACAATAATAATACAGTGTAATGCGGTTACACGTAAAATTTTAGATGCAACTACTAGTATTTTACTTGAATTTAGCAGGAGTAGGATTTCACTGGAGATATTTGATTTTCTTTACTTTGTTTTCTAATTGAGCAACAAACAGATTGTCATTTATATCTGTACACAGTCCCCAGGGTACACTCAGTCCACAGTCTATGTAACGGAGGAACTGTCCATCCTGGTCTATGATGTGGACACATTCATTGTTAATATCAGCTGTGAGGATGTGACTATGACTGTCTGTGGTGATTCCTCGTGGACTAAATGATTGGTTCTTTGGAGCAGGAGTATGTCCAGTGTACCTAAATCTCAGTTTTCCGGCCTGATTGACAACCACTACAGCATTAGCTCCACAAACAGACACACAGATATCCAGGTTCCTGTTCTCTGTTATGTACCAGAATTTAGCAAATGTAAATGTAAATTTTGGTGATGAATAAAGTAGTTTACCTTGATTATCAAATTGAATGCTTTGTTTCTCTGTGGAGCCAGAGTAATGGACAACTTTTGTTTGAATTTCATCATTGCTATTCATGATAACCAGGAGGTCACCAGAGAAGGTACTACAGACACCGCGAGGTATCCAATTCTGTAGTCTGATCACCTCCTCGATCTTCTCATTCTTCACAATGTTAACAGTTCTACTTTTATCAGTATAAACTAGATTTCCACTTTTTGTCACTGCTATGTTATATACATAGCCAATTTCTTGACTTGGTTGTGATTGTTTTGAGTTAGTGATCCCTGATTGATGCTGAAGAGTTTCATGGTTCTGTCATTTAATTCCACTTGTCCAGATTTCTTCATCACTCAGACAAGCCACATTGTAAAGTCGTATATACTCATTGTTTATGGTGGCGACAGTCTCTGGATCATCAAGCAGCTGTTTGACTGGAGAAGGGGATCCAGCCTCTGGTGATTTCTGTGTTGTCTTTATGCTGTAGCCATGTTTATCTAAAGTAAGAGAACTTGATGATAAGGTGCCAAACAGTTTACTAAGTTCTGCTCCATTAATTGTGCCTGGGTTGAATTTAGACAAAGACGGTAGAATTTTTTGTGGAAGATTTCTATATCTATCTAGTACATTGGTTGTAATACTCAACAGTTTTGAAATGTTATTAGAATCCTCAGCAAGATCAATTGAATCAATTTCATCTTTGATGTCAGACATTGTCTTGTTGATTTCTTCAAGTTGTTTCTGTAGAGTTTGTAGTTGTGTGTTTTTCATCTCTTCAACTTCAGCTTTAAATTTCTGGACAAGTTTGTCAATTTCTCTGTGCCAGGCCTCTCCATGTTTTGTTATGGCTGTTGAGAGATCTCCAAATTCCTTTTCTAACTGACTCATTCTGTTTTGTACATCAGAGGCAATGTCCTGGTAGGTTGGATAAAGTACCTCATTTAAATTAATTTGATTCTTGCTTAATTTGTCTTTTCTTTCATTCAGAACTTCCAATATTTCTGATAACTTATGACCTAAATGTTTATCAGATGCAATACACTTGGTGCAAACAGGAATGTAACATTGCTTACAGTACATTTTACAGCGTTCTTGATCATGAATGTACATCCAGGGTAGATAGGAATTGTTTTTCTGTCCTTGAAATCAACAATTTTATGAGGTTTTGACAGATCAGCAGATATGTGTTCTCCCACACAGGCCTTACACAGGTTGACAAGACATGTATCACAGTGCATCTGTACCACAGCGGTCTCACACAGGTCACATCGCATCACGTCCTGGGCACTGGTACTAGGGTCCATGATTAAACTTGTGACTCTGAAATATAAAGTTAAAAGTATTCAGTACTTGTAGTTGATTAAAGTACCAGCCTCGTAGATTTTCCTTTTTTTCAATCGTAAAATTCCTGTAGTATTCGTAGTAACCCATAATTCAATACTCATTCAGCTGATTGGTCAGTTAAAATCATGCCGGTGCCTCATTTGCTAATCTGACGCCAAAAAAAAATAGTCCCGGTTCCCATGCAAAAAGCAATTTTAATTCATGACTGCAAAAAATAAGTAATATAGAGAAAACTTATTTCAGTTTGATATTAATGTAAAAGAGATCGATTGATTGATATACATTACTGCAGATATTATCAGCTGATTCTAAGGTGGTGAAAACTGAAACGCAACATAACTTTTCTGTTTACCCTGCCTCCACGAGCTAGTCACTTCCTATCCACATTTCCGTGAATAATTTACCCTATATCGCTGAAGTCTCGCTAACTCTCGCCAGATCCATTGCCAGAGCTACTCTGAACTCATCGGGTTTACACCGAAAAATAAAAGGTTCCAAACACATTAGTAGGGGTGATATTCTCTTTCGAAGACAGTCAGCTTTAAACGTATCCCGGTCAGCCTTTCCTCTGTCATTTGTGACATAAAATATGCAACAGAACAACAATAAGCTGTATATTTCAAAACATAAGATTTGCACAGATTGAAAGTTTGCCTCCAAAAATACTTGGAAAGTGCTGCTAGAATCCCGAGTTAAGCATGGTTTTACGAAAAACCTCGGTTCATATGCATAGTGGTGTCTCCATTATATCGCGGTACTTAAAACTTTTGCATAAAAAGTGTAATTCATATTTTTTAGTGTAACTTTCATCAAATGATAATCATAAACCAGACTATGTGTCAAATTATTTCCCAAGGTTGCATCGTTTTATTTGTAAACTTTTTTTAAAACCAGATGTCTAATTTGCCTTCTAAATTGGAGAGTCTCATAGTATCGCGGAAAACATGAAAACTTGAGGTTGAAATGGACTTAAATTTTTATTTGTAAATTTACGATTTAATTCTACATAAAAAATGAACAATAATACAAACTAAAGACTTTCAAAACATGAACTTTTTTATGGATTTTACTAGATTTTAAATTCAGAGGTCTAAATATAATAAAAACTGGAAATGGAAATCTGAAATTACGTTTTTTTTGAATTAAAAAAAACTTCCACGTATGTTCCATATTTTTAATCATACAAAATTACATTCAGACGACGAATTATTATTTTACTGAGTGAACAGTGGGATTCTAGCAGCACTTTTTAGGCAAAATAGATGTTTTTCAACTGTATTATTTATAAGGAAATTATTAAACTCCGGGGGCATTATTGTTCTGTTAGTTTTTTAAATTTTAAGGAAAATGTCGCTATTAGTAGAAGTCACGGATCCCGTGGTGGGGGGCAAGTCTTTTTAGCGTTAGACACTCTTTTATCTGTATGCAATAAATAATAGTAGTTTACGTTTATCTGCGGTTTTGGAAAATTATCAAAATTTATTTTTTTTAAAAAGTCTAAAGTTCCCAAAAAATGACATGCTTCCTTAACATCCCAGTAATTATAAAATTATGGCAGCATATGTTTGTCTCACGGCAAAACTATAGTACCTGTGACTAGGGTGTTGAATTACTTCTATAAAAGAGTTCAGCATGAAAAGACTATAAGTAAACTCAGGTGACCTATCTATTGCTATCTGTTTTTGTCCCTCGTCGTGCATCGTGGGATGCGTCGTGCGTTGTACGTTAACATTTGAACATTTTCAGCTTTTTCTCTGCAAACAGTAACCGCAAACCAATTTTAACCAATTTTGACATAAAGCATCTATGGGAGAAGGGAAACAAAAATTGTGAATTTCATGGTCCATGCCCCCCTGGGGCCTGAGGGGTGGGGCCAAAACCACTAAAATTGATGCAATCTTTAAAAATATTCTTCTTTACTTCTGGACATCAAGCAGTCAAACTGTTTGCATGATTGTAATCAGCATTGAGTCCTCTACCAAAATTAAAAAATTATCCCTGGGGTCAGGGGTTCTAGTGCTAAGGCGGGGCTACATAGATTATATAGTGAAAATGCATTATTTCTTTGAAAATCATCTTCTCTGCTTCTTGATATCAAATAAACTAAGTAAGTACATAGTTATGATGAACAAGAATGCTTTTCCCAAAATTTGTGAATTTTATGGCCCCAGGGTCAGGGGTTCTGGTGTTAAGGCGGGGATCTATTGATTATATAGTAAAAATGCATGAATTCTTTGAAACCCCTCTTCTCTGCTCCTGGGTATTAAGCAGATTTACTACATATATAGTTCTGATGAGCAAGTTTAAGGGCCCTTTTTAGAATTGTGACTTTCAAGGCCCAGTGGTACCATAAGGGGGGCTTACTTATATGCTGAAAATAAATTTGTTTGTTTGAAATCTGCTCCTTGGTTTTAATAAAAATTTTTTATAAGAAATGTCGTTTTAAAAAAAAAATGTGCAATGTGGGACCTAGGGTCAGGGGATTATATGGGTAGGGGTACTTGTGATTTTTAAAGGTCTTCCGTTTCCAACGGAAGACCTTCTCTGATTCTGTTGGTAAAGATTATTAGGGTCTTCCGTCTTCAGCGGAAGCCCCGTCTATTATTCTTTTGTTTCTTTTTCAATTTTCTTCTTCTTATTATTATTAAAGGGAATCCCCTTTTATTATTTTGGTTTTTTTTTCACTTTTATTATTATTCTTCTTCCATTTTCTTTACAATTTTTGTGCAGAAGATTTCTCAGAGATGGCTCAACCGATTTCTTGAAATTTTCAGAGAAGTGTTCTTTATTAAACCTCATACGTTTTTTTTCATTTTTTTGAAATTCACTTCCGGTCAAAGTTATCGCCCTTTTATAAAAATCAGAGGACCTCCTTGCCTGTGATAGAACTCAATAACGGCTTAGCTAGAGCGCTGAAATTTTTAGTGATAATAGAGGACATGTTGCCATGTTGCACCTGGGTCAGGACATTTTCCAAGTGCCTAGTATGGAAGCTCGGTAGGGGTCAAAATTTAGGACACGAATCATGACTGATTTTTTAAGACATTTTGCTTCATATCTTTTAAAGTGTAATTATTTTCTTAAAGCATACTGAACAAAATTTGTGCAGAATGACAAATTTAAATATGATATCAAGAAAAAAAAAAAGCTGACTCATCACATTAGGGGCCAAAAGGGGCTAAAAATCTTTTTGATAACTCTTTAAAAGTCAAAATTTTGTTATACATTACTGAAGCAAAAATATTTATCTCAACAATCTACAACTAGATATTATAATTTTTATGTCGTATGGTTTTAATTGGGGGACATGGGACCAGAAGTAAAATTTTAGCTTCATATCTCAAAAGGGGAAATATTTTGATAATAATATTGAAAAAAAGATGTTCAAAATAATGTTCTGAACAAAGCAAAGCCTTTAATTTTTCGCTAAACGTCCCCATTAAGGAGTTGAAAGGGGTGGCCCCCAATTATTTCTTTTGCTAATCATTCGAAAACAAAAAAGAATCTCTGAATAGTTGTTGAACAAAAAGTGTTCCAAACCTTAAGAGCTTTCAGAAAAAAACCCAAAAAAAGGGGGTGGCCAAAAGTCTCTAACTCTATACCTCTTTAGCAAGCAATATTTTGATATACATTACTGAAGAAAAAATTTTTCTCAACAATCTACAACTGCATATTATAATTTTAATGTCGTATGTTACATAGTTAGGGGCCATAAGGGGCCAAAATCCTAAATCTTTGATGCTTTATATCTCAAAATAGGAAAAATTTTGATAAGTAATATTGAACAAAAAATGTTCAAAATAATGTTCTGAAAATATGCTAACTTTCATTTTCCGCTAAACGTCCCCATTAAGGAGTTGAAGGGCTGGCCCCTAAATATATCTTTTGCAAATAAGTCGAAAACGAAAAAGAATTTCTGAATAGTTGTTGAACAAAAAGTGTTCAAAAACGTGAGAGCATTAAAGTAGAATCAAGAAAAAGGTGCTGGGTACTTAAAATTAGGGGACAAAAAGGGCCACAAGTCTTCAATCGATAACTCTTTAGCAGTCCATATTTTGTTATATATTACTGAAGCAAAAATGTTTACCTCATCAATCTACTACAATATATTATGAATTGTATGTCGTTTGTTACATAATAAGGGGCCACAAGGGGCCAAAATGTTCAGTCTTTGACGCTTTATATCTTAAAAGTGGGAAATGGTTTGAAAAGTAATATTGAACAAAAGATGTTCAAAATGATGTTTTAAACAATATGCAACCTTTCATTTTTCGCTAAATGTCCCCATTAGGGAGTTGAAGGGTTGGTCCCTAAATGTCTCTTTTGCAAATAAATCGAAAACGAAAAGAAATCTCTGAACATTTGTTGAACAAAAACTGATCAAAATCCTGAGAGCTTGAAGATGATATGAAGAAAAGAGGGTTGATCCCTAAAATTAAGGGCCGTGAGGGGCCAAAAGTCGATTTTTTTAAGTCTTTAATGTTCAATGTCTTTTTATAGATTATGGAAAATCATTATTTTAGAATGAAAATCTCAATCAAAATCTTATCTCAGCTCTTCAAGAATCGGACGGAAGACCCACTCGTTGCTCGCAACGAGATCGTATCTAGTTATTATTCTTTTTTTCTGCACAAATTTTGTGCAGAAGATTTCTCAGAGATGGTTGAATGGATTTGCTTCAAAATTTCAGGGATGTTGCAAAATAATCTGAAGTTTAAACCGGCTGTAGGATTTTGTGAAAATCACTTCCGGTCTAGAGTTATCGCCCTTTTATCAAAATTCAGAGGACCTCCTTGTCCGTTCATTATCTCGAAAACGGCTTGAGCTAGAGCGCTGAAATTTTCAGTGATGATAGAGGACATGTCCCCATGTTACTACGAGTTTGGATAGTTTCTGGAAGTACCTAGTATGGAAGCTCGGTAGGGGTCAAATTTTAGGATTCGATTCATGAGTGATTTTTTGAGACATTTTCCATCATATCTTTTTA